TCCTGTCCTTCCTTCTTTGCACCAGGGCACTGCATAATATCCCAGCTTCAGGCCTTCTATTTCAACTGACTGTATAATAACAGTGTGTATAATTGTCTAAAGAAGTGTCCTTTAACCCACATAATGTTGCATTTGAATTACTTGAGTTTGTGCATATGTGAAGCATCCTTGTGAAGCTTGTACCACCCCTTTCTACCACCACAGCTCTTACATGTGTTCTTTTCTTTACAGGATTGGAAAGATTTTGGAGACTGAAGAGGTTGTAGAGGCTCTGATGGAAGGAATAGTGACCAACCAGAAAATGGTTTTTGTTCCACCGCAGCTAAATATTGGTTTGCTTTCTGAAATGTAAGTAGCAAAAGAAAATGAAAAAGTGGGGGTGGAAACAACAATGCTTACTACCTGAGTATATGAGGTTCAAACTTGTAACATCTGAATGAAGATAAATTTAATTTTATGGGAAACTGCATGTTGCACTCATGATATTAAAAGATATAGTTTGGCAGCATAGGGAAACCCTGAAATGACAGCTGGACAGAAATAATTTACATTCAGCCCAGTTTCATTTATTTTATATTCAGTATTGGACATTGTTATACTTATTAATCCAGATTTGACATCAGTATGCCTATAGCAACTAGATAATGTGTAATTGTCTGTAGGAGACAGTATAATGTATTAAACAACCAGCCATCTAAAATATTTTAGTATGAGAAGAACACATCACAAGGTAATGAAATAGCAGTGGTTCTTTCTAATGAGAACACACACAAAGATTTTTTGGAGCCCTCTCATAGGTCCTTCTAATCCACTTGCTGCAGATAACTGTTCACAGTGAAGAGCTCAACTATTCTACAGGCCAATAAGGAAGGAGAGGGAGAACAGAACACCTTTTCCTCAGAGATCATGATTTTCCTTGGGCTTGCAAACAACAGTTTTTCTGCATCAGCATCGTTCTAGAAAGAGCTGAGGACTTGCTGCTTATTAGTGTTTGTTTCTTCATGTCAGCACCAAAGATTGAGGTCATGGAGGCTGGGGACTTTGCTTCAAAAGGGCTCTACTTTTCTCTGCCATGTAAAGCAAGATTTTTCCTCTCACACATCTTTAATATTCAGTGTAGCTGCTCTGCTGAGGAGGTGTTGTTATCAGAGCTCAAGTTCCAAATCTGTAATTTACGTCAGAACAACTAAGTGAATGTCTCAGTTAACTCCTTTAGTATTTCATGAAACACTTGGTAATACCTTGTTTGCAAAACCCAACAACAGACAGTGGGAAAAAGTTTTTCAGTTTTTTGCATCTCTAGGAGCTGCTTGCTGACAGTGCAAGTCTGCAGAAGCATAGACAAATCAAAACTAATGCTGTCAAAACCTTTAGGATAACTTTGCTTTTCTGTCTTAATTTGGGACAGGGGGACAGAGAGATATAACTCTTAAGAGAAAGAATCCTAGGAGAGGAAACTGCACCTCAGTTTTAACATCTCATCCTTCCTTAGGCCTGCTGCTTTTCAGAGCATGAAGCACGTAATACACACCTATATCTGTACAATATTGAGCCTTCCTGGATCCTCCAGCAATATTGCAACCCAAATACTGCCCAGCATATACCCAGCATTGGAACTGTCCTAACAAGACTTGGCTGAGACTGGAGTTTAATTAGTCAGAGATTGATGAGAGCTATGTGTTCTTTGGAAATAATGCCCAGTTTAAGACTTAGTCTCAGTCCATATATGTGCATGTATTCTGCTCCCAGACCACTCTTCCCTCACCTGCAGTGCCACTTTTTCCCATAATTTAAGTTTCTATCTCATGCTTAATTTCATGAGAGTTATTTTCTCTTTCAGGGTGTTTCCAGAACGTGCCCTGAATGTTCTGAAGAAGCTCACTGTTCCAAAGTTTGATGCAATCATTGGGCAGGGAAGCACCCAGTGAAAGCCAAGAATTGATTCTCATTTTGCAGTGGCACGAGTGAAAACAGAACATGTGCTGAGGGTAGTTCAGCTGGTTTGATACAGAACTAAGACAGGTGCTTCCAGGCCACCATTTCCAAGCACACAGAAAGGTTTATCCCACACCTGTAGCAGGAATATACCTGCATAATATGAAATGTTAGCAAAGCAGAGATGCAGCTCTAGAAAGGCTGCTTTGAGTGTACATCACATTGCCTCTGTCTCATAGTGTTGAGGCAGACAGGAATTCCCACAAAGCCTGTATTTGGGACAGCACAGCTGCCTATTTGAGTGCCGAGGGATTGCCTGAAAATATGTTAATGTGGACTCATTCCTGAGCAAAGCTGTCTTGCAAGAAAAAATTTATACAGCAGGTAGGTGGCCTGTTTCCCCTCAATTTATCTTTTAAATGTAAAAAAATATGCTGTAATGAACACTTACAGTTTCATGTGCATTTGTAATGTGTATTATGGAACTATTTTAATTAATTGTATTATTGAAATAATGCAGCCTTGTTTGTAATGTAATGCCTAATTACATTGATTATCAATTATGCCTTAGCACCATCAACACTCCTTATTTCAAATAAATACATTTTTCTAACCCAAAAGTGTCTCTCAGCAATGGAGACGGGAACTAGGTCCAAGAAAGGACAGTGGAGCAAGTGCAAAAGTGAAAGGGTCAGCCAGAGCCTGCCAACCACCAGGCCAGGCTGCAGGGATGAGGCAGGTCCCGTGGTCACACCAGGAAGTCACATCAGGATCAGTGAGGTACAGGGCCAGGCATGGCACACCACCAGCACAGCCTACACAGGGGCTGGGGCCAAGGCCAGGGCTTAAAGGTGGGTGCCAGGGAAGAGGGTACATGGGAAAAGGCTCCAGATGAGCCTTCGCTCAGCTCCTCATGACAAGCCAGTGGCCTGATCTGATGGGACCCACCTTGACCAGGAGGTTAATCCCCAAAGGCCTTCAGCCTGTGGTACAAGAGAGCAGCACCTGATGAAACACGGGTCAAGACCCCTTTGGAGCACAGATTATCTGTGCACCTACTTGTGCAACTCCCAGCCACTGCAGGGACTTGCTGGCTCACAGCCATCTGAGGGAGGCCTGAATACGCTGCCACCTTTGGCACAGTTGGAATCCATCCTGCTCACCTGAGCATTTCTTGTTGTCCTGTAAACAGGTTCTTCAGAAAAGGGTGCAATATGGTCCAGTGACTCCAAAGAAAAAGCACAAAAAGACCCCTGAGATAGACAAGTCAATGTCCCGATGACTAGGCCCTCTTGTCATACTGGCTTCAGTAGGACACATCAGACAAGATATTTGGCTTCTCCTGGCACACCATTCCCACTAGCCTTGTGCATTATTCAGATTCTCATGGCAGCATTAAATTGGAAGACAGAAATCCAGGCAGCGCTGTCCTGCTGAGTCTGTTTCTCAGCATACTTGGTCTTAAGGAAAGGGAGACTGTGTTCACTCCCATCTTGCCAGATCTAGTCTAGTCTCTCAGAGCCCAGAGGAATTATTGGGCAGGGCAACTTGTGCAGTACTTCATATGTGGCTACAGTTGTTCTCTGTGTCTCCTATGGCTGCAAGTCTTCTGCTTGGCATAAAGAAACTTATGCAAAAGCAAGGAATTAAGTCTTCATCTCCTGAACACCAGTGACAGAACTGATTCGTCAAGCTTCCCAGGCTTCTCAGTTCTCTTTCTGGCCACAGCAGTCAACAGAAGCTTGTCCCATAGTCTGGTCATTATTGGTGCCCAGCAGGAGCCTATGTGAGCAAGCTTCATATAGCCACCTACAGCCAGGTCCCAAATTTGAAGAGCAGTATCTCACACCCTGGCTTAGGACTTGTTATGAGTCAGGCTGGTGACTCTGGCCTTGTGCTCTGCCTCCTGCTGAGTTGTCTCTTAGAGACAATGGTTCTATGGCCTGCCTGCCTTCACTGTTTTGGCCACGGCACTGACTGGAGCCCTGTGCCAGGAAAATGACAGCACCGCTGAGCTGTGCAATTAGGGTCGGGCCCAAATGCTGATGTATTAATTAAGCAGAGAATGAAGTTCCAAGAGGAAGGGAGGAAGTGCCCAGCTTGGAATGGCTCTGCTGGAGCTGACCTAGTCTCTCACAGACAAGGTTAGCAACAATACATCCAAACCACCAGAACAAAAACAGTACTTTTCAAGAACTGTAATCTTAACTGGAGGCTGATTTTGGTCAGTTGACAGATATTCATGAAACCTTCACTCTTCCCCAAGCAGCTTAAAAATACACTTAAATAAAATTATGAACATGACTGTGATACATCTAATTCTCTAACTGAAAAGCAGAGGAGTAAGGTCAGCAATCCTTTTCAAGTAAGATCATGCAGTTACATTGTTGGAGCTGGAAAAACCACCTGAAACTACTTTTGTCCTATTCCCCATAAGCACTCCTGTTCTGGTTAAGGTTCTGAATACACCCTTACACACAAGCAAGTTGTGTGATTTAGACTCAATTAGATAAGGATGACCCAATTCACTCAGGCAATGCCGTTTTCCAAAGGACTTGAGGAAACTAAGTAGCCACAGCATAAGATGAAAGGACTGAGTATGAACCACTAATTAGAAAACAGAATAAAAGAGAGCAGCCAGGCAAGAGCTCACCTATGGAGTTCCACAAGTTGAAAGGACTTGTCTCATTCAGCTTTCTTTAAGTGATCTGGAAGAGGAAGATATTGGGACAAAGTCTGCTGACAATGGACAGATACCCAATGGAAGGAAGGACCATGAAGAAAACCACTCAAGGATCTCATGGAACTGAGCGACTGGACAGTCACAAAGCAGGATTTGAGCCACACAACACAGAGTTGAGGGGAACTTCAAGATGCTTTTGCCAGTAACTGGATGAGCAAATTTATTGCCAGTTCTGTCCCTCCTGCACCTGCTGCAGACGACAAACAAGACCAAGAACCGCTCACCCGGGCACGGAGAGCTCCGTGCGGGGCTGGGCGGAGCAGCCCCCCGGGCTCCCGCCCCCTGCCCGGGACGGGCGGTGCGGGGGTGGATCCTGCCGGGAACTGACAGGACGAGCTGTGAGCGCTGAGGTGGGCGCGGGCAGCTGGTAAATCAACAACCCACGTCGCCGTCAAAAGAGATTAAAGTTCAGTTCGGCCATCAAACGACCCTCGGAAAAAAACAATGAATCTGTTTGTGGAAACTCTTCTGTTCCTGGGCACGCTCGTCTACTCCTACCTGGAGGCTTTCGTGAAGCTGTTTGTCCCCGTGAGGAGGAAGTCTGTCAGCGGAGAGCTTGTGCTCATCACGGGTGCTGGCCATGGCGTCGGAAGAGCGACCGCCCTCGAGTTCGCCAAGCGCCAGAGCAGGCTGGTCCTCTGGGACATCAGCAAGGTAATGGCACAGCTCGTGTCCTCACTCCTTCGCCTCCGAGCCCCATGGGGTTCAGGAGCGTAAGAAGGGCATCACCAGATTGCATCCACAGCAGCTCCTTCCCCCTGCGCTGCCGTCGGCTCACGGCCGGCTCTGGCTGGCCCGCTGAGCGCCAGGAGAGGGTTTGGCCCCGCTGGCAGCAGAGGATGGAGGGCTCTGGGTCCCGCAGTTCCTCGGCGCTGCTCAGCGAGGGGGCAGGCAGCGCCTGGCAGAGCCCCTGCGAGAGGGAAGTGCGTGCTCCGAGAGCTGCTGCTGGAACCGCTGCCTGGGCTGGCAGGCAGAGCACGCCCAGACCAGCAGCCTGCGTCCACAGAGGAGCAGGTTTGCCTCCGCTGAGTGTCTCTGGCCTCAGGCTTTTTGCATACATTGCTGGAAGGTGTGTTTTCTCTTTACTCATATCAACAGCATTGCTGTGCTGAGCTGTGTGTGAGCCCTGCTGCCCTCTGGGGCAGCTACAAGCGTAGATGGCTCCTTGCTGAATGTTCGTACTGGCCCAAAGTGTTTCAGATAATTTGACTGGAACGCAAAAAGACCTTGGCAAGTGGAGGACAGACAGGTACAAACATGCATCTTGGCAGTCAGTAGGGATCAAGGCCAAGTGTGTGTAGGTGAAGCAGCTGCGCAGGGAGGATGAGAGGCTGGAGAGCAGAGAGTGGGAAAGGTTTCTGACACAGTGGGTCAGGAGAGGAGTTCATCCTGTCGTCCTGGAGCTGCAAAAACAAAACCCAGCCCACCACAAACAAACAAAGAAAACCCCACAAAATCCAAGACAAGCCGAGGATAAGGGGTTGTATAAGCAGGGAAGGTACTGTAGAACATTTCCAGTGTCTGTTCGTGCTGCCCATTATGGCTGAGACCAGACACTGGAGGGGTGGCAGGAGGCACAGCACTGCTCTCCCAGTGTGTACAGGTCTGCAGCAAAGTAGAGCATTGTCCATGTTTGCTGGATGGAATTCGGGGATTAAGGAATAAACTAAGTCACGAGCAGCACCTGGCTTTGGTACCGGGAAATAGATTGTAAGGGTGAGTGTAAGGAGGAACTGAAATACAATACCAGAGGAGGTGGTAGATCCTGGAGGATCCAACTACCTAGTCCAAGGCTTTCTTCCTGGGGCTCTCAGCCTTAAGCAGCAGCCAGGACTGAGGGCAGCTGCCCAGTCACCCACTGCAGGGACCTGCACAGCTTCTCTCAAGTGCTGAGCTGTCCCAGGCTATTTGTGACCTGGGGCCTTTCACTGCACAGGCCATCACTGGCATGGCTTTCTGGCACCTGGGGACAAGGCTACGCCCAAGTCACTTCTGCCCTGGCTTAGTGGGTTGATGGATGAGCTTCTCTTCTGCGTGTGTCAAGTGCCATTCCATAAGAAATGTCCTTCTGCTTTGTGCACTGGTGTGGTAGGTTTGACCTTGGCTGGATGCCAGGTGCCCACCAATCCACTCCCCCTTTTCAGCTGCACCGGGCAGAGAAAATAGCATGGAAAATGACTTGCAGGCTGAGATAAGGCAGTTTACTAAAGCAGAGACGAAATTTTGTGCATGCACAAGCAAAGAGAAATAGAAGTATTTTGTTCTCTGCTTCCCATCTGCAAGCAATGTCCACCCACATCCTGGGAAGCAGGGCTTCAGCACAAGTAGCAGTTGCTCCATAAGGCAAACGTCATAAAAAATGGATACCCTCCCCTTCCTCTTTTCTTAGCTGTTATATCTGAGCTGACATCACATGGTATGGAATATTCCTTTGGTCAGTTTGGGTCAGCTGTCCTCGTTGTGTCCTGTCCCAGGATCTCGCCCACCCCCCGCCTACTGACGGGAGGGGAATGTTGGACAGACAGTGCTGATACTGTGCCAGCTCTGCTCAGCACTAGCCAAACCACTGGTGTGTTATCAACACCCTTCTGGCTACCAATGCAAAGCACAGCACTGTGAGGCTGCTTTAGGGAAATGAACTCCATCTCAGCCAGACCCAATACAACTGTGGAGGGCACCTCTCTTTTCACACCCAGTCTGTGAATACAGAAACACATAAAGCCTCTCACACATAAAACTTCTCATATCGGGTGCCAGACAGGCCGTGTTTGAGGAGCTCTGTTTACACTCACGGTGTCTGCCTGCTGTACTGTGATAGGCACTGTGTGCCCACTTTCTGCAGCCTAGTTAAGTGTGCCTTACCAAGGCAAACTCACTCTTGTTGCCACACTCCTATGGCTAGGAGAATTGTGATTGTTCAGCCTGGAAAAGAGACAGCTTTGGAGTATCCTAATTGTGGCCTTCAGTACCTAAAGGGAGCCTAGAAAAAGGTGAGATGGAGCAAGATGATTTACAAGAGCATGTGGTGCCACGACAAGGGGGAATGGCTTCAAACTGAAAGAGAATAGGTTTAGATAAGATATTAGCAGGAAATTCTTTACTGTGAGGGTGGTGAGGCATGGGAACAGGTTGCCCAGAGAAGTTGTGGATGCTCCATTCCTAGAGGTGTTTGAGACCAGGTTGGATGGAGCTCTGAGCAACCTAGTGAAAGGTGTCTCTGCCCATGGCAGGGGGGTTGAAATGAGGTGATCTTTAAGGTCCCTTCTAACCCAAGTCATTCTGTGATTCTGTTCTTTCCTTTTTGGAAGTCAGTATACACAAGTCTGAAATTTAAGGCTGGAATAGCTGTCTTCCCAAGGATCCCACCTACAGCTCTGTCCCTGGGTGGCTGTGAACTGCTCAGGGGCCTGGCAGTGGTGACACAATTAAGAGACATCTTCAGCAGGGCACAGTTGTGCATGAGTGTCTTCTTTTCTGCCCCTTCCAGCACGGCGTTGAGGAGACGGCAGCAGAATGCCAGGGTCTGGGGGCCACTGTTGAAACCTTCGTGGTGGACTGCAGCAAACGGGAGGAGATCTACAGCGCTGCAGAGAAGGTAGGGCAGCAGGGGCACGGACAGAGGCTCGCCCAAACATGCTCCATTTCCAGAAAAGCAGGGACAGCTGGAGAAGAGGCATTGCACACAAATCATGCAAGGCCTTGGAACCTCCCCACTCCTCGCTGCTCTCTGTACACAGAGTGGTGAGGCATTTCCAAGATCACACCCTTTAGTGAGGCTCGAGGATATCATTCCTCACTGCCAAGTTTGCTCTGGAGAGTTCCAGCCTCTGAAGAAACACAGGCAGCACTGAGGACATATGAAACATTTTATTGTAAAGGCTGTGGTCCAGCTGGCTCAAAACTGTCTGTACCTCCATAGTCCCAGCTGTGAGAAGAATCAGATCTAAACCAGATCTCATGGTAATACTGCACAGTTTCTGCCACATCTGGAAAGGTACCGTGATCTTCCTCTCCCTAAAGGAGACAAAGTTAAGAAATAAATTAATTATTGGTCATCTTCTGCAGCCTTGCATTTTTTTATTTGGGATTTTTTTATATAATGAATGAGAGACACACTTCTGGGCCTTTGTTTTGTCTCCAAAAGGTGAAAAAGGAAATTGGGGATGTGACCATCCTGGTGAACAATGCTGGTGTGATCACAGCTGCCGACCTGCTCTCAACTCAGGACCACCAGATAGAAAGAATGTTTGAAGTCAACATCCTGGCTCACATGTGGGTAAGGGCCACTACCATCTCCATACCTACATTTTTGGGGAGCATACCTGTTGAAGAGACCTATTTAAAGTAACCCTTATTACCAGTGATTTACCAAAGTGTCTTTTGGATGTGTACAGCACAGGGGCACCCTTGGGAAACTTGAACAGCCTCCTGCTGATCTGAGCAGGCTGGTGACAGCCTCATGTGCAGCATCTGTCAGAGCTGTACTGGGGCTTACAGAGTGAGGGGGTTTCAGCTGTTAAGCAATATTTGTTTGCAGCTGAAGAGAAGCTGCAGGTTGACAAGTGTTTTATTGTACGTGCTGGGGGTGAGACACTCTCAGCATTGCCACTGACTCCTGAAACCTCAAAAGCAGCAGAGGAAAGATGTGAAAATGAAATCCTGTTTATAGCTGACTTCCTGAAACATTTGCAGAGCAGGTTGCCAGATGCACCAGCTGATCAGAGAACATGTATCCCTGGGGCTCTCAGATTGTGAGGTGCTGTGCAGCACAAAGCATTAGTCTCTTAATGACTGATATTCAGGATCAGTGCTGAATATGCCTAAGAAAACATTGTTCTTCTCTTCCTGCCCCCTGCATTTTTGCCTCTTGACTTACTTTGAAGACGACAAGAGCTTTTCTGCCAGCCATGATGAACAACAACTATGGGCACATTGTCACGGTGGCTTCGGCAGCAGGTCATTTTGTGACTTCTTTCATGGTGGCTTATTGGTAAGTGATTTTTAAATCGGTTCTCTTAATTTTTTTTTTGTTTTTAATCGCATCTTCTACATCATAAAGTACCAAGTAAGTGAAATGATCCTCCCACTGAATACGATACAGACAAATGACTGTGCTAAGGAGGAAGAAAGCACAACAGCCAGCACTTGAGGATGGCTGGCAGTTCCCAACATGTAGTTATTAGCTCTGACTGAATCAGGAGCAATGTTTGTATGAAAGAATAATCGTTTGACACATCAACTAATGACTTCTATTTTTTCTCCCTTACCGATCCAGACTTTTGCTTAGCAAAACAGGTATCTTCCTCCCTTCTCCTTAGAAACTAGTGATTCTGTGAGTAGTTGTAGTGTTGTCAAGAAAGCCCCTAATGAGTAGCTTTTGATCTTTTTATCTTTGTGGCAGTGGTTGTTGTGTATAGAAATACTTCTACCATCATGACGTAGAACTGCTTTTCTACTTGAAACATGCCAAGAAAATCATGGTGCACAGAAAACCTGTTATATTGCATATTGTCATTCTACATCACATCCAGCCCTCTATAACAGCAGCTCCAGGTGCAGCAGTCTTCTCTTTTCTATTTTCTTTGGACTTGACTTAAACTAGAGGCACACACCTATTTCTGTGGCATGTTGTTCCTCAGTTTTGCTTGCTTAATGCTCCTCTATTTCCAAAGTCACACACAACTGTTACAAGATGCTCCCATGTGGTATAAGAAACAGTAGAGGGTTAATATTCTTTTCTACACTGCCTATCCTTTTTAATTTTAGAGATTCATTCCTTCTACGAATCTTCTCACATGGATAAATCAGAATATCTGTCTATCAATGCACATTAGTTATTGTTTTATAGGATTTCTTTAGTCTGTTTGAAACCAAGGTGACCTTTTTTGAGACATCTGCTGTGCATTCCACAATTACTCCCCAAGCTGCAATATCTAATCCAGCCCTACATCCTGGCACAGGGGAAGTTAGAATTAGTCCCTGCCCTATCTCTCAGCTGGATTACATTCTTTGGAGGGTTTTTTTTGCCTCCCAGCCTGTACTGTATGATTGTTTAGGCCATTTACAGTTGTAGAGAGTTAGAAATACTATTTATGCCTTCTAATTTGTGCTTTTTTCCCCTCCTGCAGCTCGAGCAAGTTTGCTGCAGTTGGATTTCATAAAGCTCTGACAGAGGAGCTGTCTACCCTGGGAAAGGATGGAATAAAAACCACATGCCTTTGTCCGGTTTTTATAAACACTGGATTTGTCAAAAACCCCAGAACAAGGTAACTCAGTGCTCTGCATTCCTGTCCTTCCTTCTTTGCACCAGGGCACTGCATAATATCCCAGCTTCAGGCCTTCTGTTCCAACTGACTGTATAATAACAGTGTGTATAATTGTCTAAAGAAGTGTCCTTTAACCCACATAATGGTTGCATTTGAATTACTTGAGTTTGTGCATATGTGAAGCATCCTTGTGAAGCTTGTACCACCCCTTTCTACCACCACAGCTCTTATATGTGTGCTTTCCTTTGCAGGCTTGGAAAGATTTTGGAGATTGAAGAGGTTGTAGAGGCTCTGATGGAAGGAATAGTGACCAACCAGAAAATGGTTTTTGTTCCATCAAATCAGAGTGTTGCTTTACTGCTTGAAAGGTAAGTATTAAAAACAAAAATGTATCAACAAGTATCAACTATAACTTGCTGACTGCACCACCCTCAAACTTGTAAAATCTGATTCAGTTATTTTAGAACGCATCACAAGGTAACTAATAATGCAGTGGTTCTTTCTAGTGACAACAGCAGATGTCATACACAGTTATTTTTTTGAACCCTCTCATAGGTCCTTCTAATCCACTTGCTGCAGATAACTGTTCTCAGTGGAGAGCTCAACTGCTCTACAGGCCAGTAAGAAAGGGGAGGGCTCCTGGAAATACGACATTCTCTGAAACAGCACCCCCAGTGTAGTTCCAAAAAGAGCTGAGGACCTGCTGCTTATTAGTGTTTGTTTCTTCATATCAACACCAAAGATTGAGGCCACGGAGGCTGGAAAATTGCTTTAAAATGGCTCCATTCTTAGCTCTGCTATGTAAAGCAAGATTTTTCCTCTCACACATCTTTAATATCCAGTGTAGCCGCTCTGCTGAGGAGGTGTTTTCATCAGAGCTCAGGTTCCAAACCTAGAATTAACATCAGAACAACTAAATTTAGTTTTCAGTTATTTTCTACAGTATCTCATGAAACTATTAGTAATTTATTGTTTGCAAAAGCCAGCAAACTTGGGCCTAACCCTAAATTTCTTTTTATGAGGAAGTGTAAAGATGTTTGGGTTTGGTTTTTTTTCCTTTCAAGAATTTCCAGATTAACCAGGTAACATTTTGAAAGCAAAGAGAAAGAAAATGCACATGTCTATGTTCAATATAAAAAGTTCCTGGATTCTGCAGCAATATTGCAACCTAAATCATGTCCAGTGCATACCTGTCCCAGAATTGTCATAAAAGGAGATGGGTGGGATTGGAGATAAAACTAGTTGGAGATTGATGAGGGCTACATATGCTTTGGAAATAATGCCCAGTTTAAGACTTAGTCCGTGTCTGTGCATTCTGCTCCCAGACCACTCTTCCCTCACCTGCAGTGCCACTTTTTCCTGTCATTTAAGTTTTTCTTATCCCACATTTAATTTCATGTTATTACCTCTTTCAGAGTGTTTCCAGAACGTGCCCTGAATGTTCTGAAGAAGATGACCGATGTCAAGTTTGATGCAATCATTGGGCAGGGAAGCACCCAGTGAAAAGCAAGAATTGATTCTCGTTTCGCAGTGGCACGAGTGAAAACAGAACATGTGCTGAGGGTAGTTCAGCTGGTTTGATACAGAACAAAGACAGGTGCTTCCAGGCCACCATTTCCAAGCACATGGAAGGGTTTATCCCACACCTGCAGCAGGAACACACCTGCATAATGTGGAGTGTTAGCTAAGCAGAGATGCAGCTCTAAAAGTCTAAAGGACTGCTTTGAGTGTACATCACATTGCCTCTGTCTCGTAGTGTTGAGGCAGACAGGAATTCCCACAAAGCCTGTATTTGGGACAGCACAGCTGCCTATTTGAGTGCCAAGATTGCTTGAGAATATGTTAATCTGGACACATCCCTGAGCAAAGCTGTCTTGCAAGAAGGAATTTATACAGCAGGTGGGTGGCCTGTTTCACCTCAATTTATATTTTTATATGTACAATGAATTTCACGTACTTTTGTACCAAGTACCTGAAACAATATGGGTATGTTATATAATACCTAATTACATCGATTATCAATTATGAATGAGCACCATCAATATACCTTTATATTAATAAATACAGTTCTTTAACACAAAGAACATGAAGCGTCTCTCGGCCGTGAAAATCATAAGCACATCCTAGAGGTGCATTTAAGGTGTGGTATCAAGTAACACACCTTTCCCTGTACCATTTCTCACACTGCTCATCTGCAATTCCCAGACACCTTTAAAACACTTCCCCATGACAACAGCGCAGTATTTCTCTACAAATTGCTGGGTGCTCTCCTGCATTTCATGCATGCAGGAGAATGTGATTTGTTATGTGAGAACACAGACCAAGTTGGACGGTTTTCCTCTTTACATTACAAGGCAATGAATCCAACTAATGAAAACTCTGCAGTCTGTCTGTGTCAGTATTCATAAGTCAGACTCGCGTTATTAAAGAAAAGAGCAAGGTTATGCTGAGCCAGGAAAGCCTTCGTTTGCATGCAGCAGGTGAGTTTAAGTTGAACTCCACTCATGAGAACTCCTGAATACGTCTTCATTTCAACTAATTAACATGTCACAGCACAAAGTTAAACCCCTACAGGCACTGGATAACACATGCACCTCCATATACCTCTTTTCCGTCCGTGTCTTCCAACATGTGCACCCGGCTGAGGGTTTATGTTTTCCACTCCTATGAAACGCTGCCTTGCTACTGGAGAAAATGCTGCAGCAACAACATCCCTGTGTAATCTTGGACTTTAATTCCCAGCTGTGCTGTGCCCCTTCCACGTGCAGGGGAGCAGTGGAGTAGGGACTCTTGGCAGGAGAAGGTACGCCAGGTGCTGAGGGCAAGGTGGGCATCACACCAACGTGACACCACCCCACTGCTGCTGGGTAAAGACAGCAGAGCAGATGCTGCAACGGTGGCAGGGTCAGCCAGAGCCTGCCAACCACCAGGCCAGGCTGCAGGGATGAGGCAGGTCCCGTGGTCACACCAGGAAGTCACATCAGGATCAGTGAGGTACAGGGCCAGGCATGGCACACCACCAGCACAGCCCACACAAGAGCTGGGGCCAAGGCCAGGACTTAAAGGTGGGTGCCAGGGAAGAGGGTACATGGGAAAAGGCTCCAGATGAGCCTTTGCTCAGCTCCTCATGACAAGTGGCCTGATCTGATGGGACCCACCTTGACCAGGAGGTTAATCCCTCAAAGGCCTTCAGCCTGTGGTACAAGAGAGCAGCACCTGATGAAACACGGGTCAAAGACCCCTTTGGAGCACAGATTATCTGTGCACCTACTTGTGCAACTCCCAGCCACTGCAGGGACTTGCTGGCTCACAGCCATCCGAGGGAGGCCTGAATATGCTGCCACCTTTGGCACAGTTGGAATCCATCCTGCTCACCTGAGCATTTCTTGTTGTCCTGTAGACAGGTTCTTCAGAAAAGGGAGACCACTCAGCATCCAGCTCCTCCTGCTCTTAGTTGGCAACATGTAAAAGTTTGTGCTGCCATCAGCACAAACAGTGGCTAAATGTGCTAAATGAAAGAAAAATAGTTCCCATTTTTTTCATGGAACATTCATGTAACAATACAGGGTGTGTCAAAGCACAAGTTCCCAGGTTTGGATCTTTTGCTTCATAGTGGAGAATTCCCAAGACAGAAAAAGAAAGGAAGGTTAGCAAATTTCAGAGAATTAAAAACCTCAAAAGGTTAAAAGTAAATTAAAGAATGTTAGACGTGGTTTGTATTTTAAACCAAGACCCTCCAAATCCCAAATCTGAGAACAGCGATTTAATGTCCTTTTTCTACTCTGAAAGAAGTTTTTCGTTTTGTCCTGCTTTTATTTGAGCTCTTGCTGAAAGGGCTGGCCTGTCACAACAGAGAGCCACCTGGTCTTCTATATGTTGCTTGAGTTTCCAAGGCTTCTGCTTTGCATAAAGAAAGAAACAAACAGCAAGGAGTTAAGTCTTTATCTCCTGACCACCAGTGACAGAACTGATTCATCAAGCCTCCCAGGCTCCTCAGTTTTCTTTCACAACAAAAAACTGAAGCTTATCCCAAACTCTGGTTTATTACTGGTGCCCAGCAGGAGCCTATGTGAGCAAGCTTCATATAGTCACCTACAGCTAAACACCAAATTTGAAGAGTGGTACCTCACACCCTGGCTTAAGGAGTTATTGGGAGTTATGAGTCAGGTTAGTGACTCTGGCCTTATACTGTGCCTCCTGCTGAGGTGTCTCTTGAAGTCAATGCTTCTGTACCCTCCCTGTGCCTTGGCCAGCACTGACTGGAGCCCTGTGCCAGGAAAATGACAGCACCGCTGAGCCATGCGATTAGGGTCTGGCCCAAATGCTGATGTATTAATTAAGCAGAGAATAAAGTTCCAAGAGGAAAGGAAGAAGTGCCTAGCTTGGAATGGCTCTGCTGAAGCTGACCCAGTCTCCTGCAGACATGATGAGTAACAGTTCAGCTAAAAGCACCACGATGTTGGCTAGAGGCCTGTGGAGCTCCTTCCCCAGCTCTTCCAGCAGTTCCAGTTTCAGAAAGCACAAGAGAGTAAGGAGTCCACAGGGATTTTATGTGCCAGGTGCACTATGTACTCCCTGAGCTGCTGCATCCAGCGTGCAGATGCCAGTGCTGGGACTGCCCTGCTGGCTGACAGAGGCTCTGTTCCTCAGTGCTGGAGGCATGAAGGTGAACTACTGGTATCATAAACCCTATAGCTCTGTTTGGAAGCCATATGGCCAGGCACCATGCTCATGCACTGTTTTGCAGTCATCCATACTGCTGAAATGTTAGCCGGATTCCTGGCGCAGTTGTGGTCCATGAGCCTATCTGGCAGCAAACACTCCAGCATATTGTGGGGGCAGTGCATCCCTGGATACAGGGCTGCTGGGCAGGCAGCGTGGGTGAAACCATATGCTTTGCAAGAGAAGTGGAAGTTTATGGACACAGAAGCCTTTTGAGGACACCATCCAAATCAACAGTGAATAAAACAAAGGAGCAGCTGTGATAGTTTCCCTTTGTCCACTACAAATGTTCACTAACTGGTCTGAGACTTGAGAGACTCATTATTAGGGGGAAGAACAACATTTAACAACAATATTTAATGATCATAATTACTGTGTTCATTGTGATAGGTAAAATTTTCAAGAGCCACACTTGAGTGGCTTCAGCTCATCTTGGCCACATTTAGTCTTACAGAATTTCCAGTAGCATGGATTAAAGCTCCCCACAGCACTGCCACCTGATCTCTCTCTTCAGCAAAGTCTGAGAGCACTTCTTCGAAGACTGGCTCTGCTGCATTTTTCTAAAGTCCTTGAATCCTGCTCAGAATGTTAAGAGAATCATCTCAACCTGTGTTTCTTGCCACAAACCTAAGCCACTTACAAGTGAAAATCATGGCTGTACATCTTACTGCCACTGTCTGCTCGCACTGAGGCCCCAGACTCATGATGGGGGCAATACTCACAGTGTTATAATGCTTGCAGGTAATGCCAGTATACATAAAATACAGGTAGTTTTAGGCAGCATTTCAGAACACAGATTTCCAAATGCAGAGAACCTTCTGAATCCAGTAGTTTAATGAAACTGAACTTTTGTATGGTTTTGTGGGGTTTTTTTCTACTGCTCCACTGTAATTAAGCATTTGAGATCACTGGTGGTTCACAGTGTTGCAAAACTGTCTGCAAAATTCCAATCTGACTTAAATTGTCAGTACCCTCAGCTTTCCAGATTATTTCATTCTGCATCCAGTGTCTGACCATGCAGGTTTCTCTTTTCCAAGTAGGTCTTTTGCTTTGTTTGAACTCACCACTAAGTTTTACTGCAAAACCACTATCAGACTATGAATAAGCTTATATTTATCCAAGAAGCCAGGTGTTAGTAGGAGTAAACTTGCTCTGCTGCAAACTACTTCCCCTCTGTGTACTCAGCCTTTTCACAGCTGGTAGCTGATCATTTTCAAAGACATCACAATCAAAATGTTTTTCAAGAAACATCAGCACACTAATTAAGAGCGGCTGTTAGTTACAGCTAACACAGCGATGTTACTCCTGAGATTCAAGCGAATATCTCTGACGAGGACTCTGCAGATACTCTGTAAAGGAGACTCCTTTTATATATGTCAGTTGTAATGGTTGCGACATTAGGAATGAGTGAGTGACAGCCATTTAAAGGAAACATTTTATGAACATAGTTTATACTTACTGTTGACATGTTCACTCTCCGGATAAAGAATTCCTGACTCACAAGGATTACTTTGTTCCTAATCCAAAATACCTACGTTTAATCAGTAACCAACCTAGGGGCAGGAGCCACAGTAGCTCACTTTGTGCTCTCTCTCCTCAGGAGAAAGGAATAGAAAAAAGGGAAGAAATGTGCCAAACAGAGGTGTGTTCTCCTTTAGCAGGATGACCAAAGTCCACACATACCACAGGCCTATAGATAAGAAAGCAGTAGCACAGATTTTTTCAGATAGTTATTTTTCAAGCCATGGATTGTTTCAGTTTTGCCCTGTCACACACAACGCTGTTTTTACATCTGCAGCCTCAGAAGTCATGAAACTTGGGACGCTCTGTACACAGTTACATTAAGCACATTAAGTGCTTAAAAACATAATATGGATCACAGGCAGACAAATCCTAAAGCATGATCCTCAAAAATCTAAAGCCAATTTTAGATAGCGCCTGTGCCGTGCAGTGCTGAGCTACCAAAGGCACTGAGAAAGAGATGTTTTGCATATATGGATAGCCCCATGATTATCTGCTACCTTGGAGCCTGGCAGTGGTACAGCTGTGTTCGTGCTGTTCTGCAGTAACATGTTTGGGAAAGGGGCTGTTCTTCATTCGTCAGCTAACCCTGGATCTCTGGATGATGCCAAGTGACGTGGTGCAAACCTCTACTCAGTGCGTGACACCTCCTTGGCAAGACAAAGCTACCTGGCATTCAGTCTCTATTCAAAGCCTCCTCAAGATGGGTGTTTATGCTCCTGTGTGTCTCACCTTGTAGGCATATCTGACACACACTGATTCAGCTGAGCTTAGCACACAAAGCCACAGTCACTCAACACCCAAAGATCCTTTTCACCCAAGCTTATGTCCTGTCTCT